AATTATTAAGTCCGTATAAGTGTCTAACAATAAAATTATGGTAACATTCAATAACACCTATCACAATAATATTGTATACTTACTATTCGATAGATCGTGTTTCTGGTTGTTCGACGACATCGAATAAGTCACCATAATGTCGATAGTAATTTGTCAATTTCTAAAAAACAAGTACAACTTAAAAAATAAATAAAATTATGTATCACCACCCATGATGCGATTTACCGATTTACACTAGCTATATAATAGGTTCCTATAATTCTATATATTATGACGTCCAAATGGTAGTTCCCACGATCTCGTATAGACTGCTTTATATCTGCCAACTGATATAATGATTTTTCTTAAATCAACTGTGGGTTAAAAAAAAAATGATTAGTTTGGTACCTACATCCAGTGGGAATTATTATAAAAATGAATAAACAAAATGTATATTACAAATTGAAATAATAAAATACAGGTAGGTAATATACTCACCAGTACATATTTAATACAGATTATTTAAGTCAAACCACATTTGTCGACGTGTAAAATCCAAATACGTCTCTGCGACTTAACAAACTGTTGGCTACAATTCATTTCAATCCACCTCCGTTCCGTTGTGAAAAAACAAATTAGTTTTCCCATATAGTTCCGAATAACTGTGGGAAAGTAGCTATACGCCTATACTTAGGTATTGTATTAATTTTACGCGCGTTGCAAATCGATAGGTAGATAAAATAATTATAGAAAACTTACTTCAACATTGTATGGCCTTGTTATATAGGTACATATATTATACATTGTTAAGCGTCCTATATAACGATAATTGGCAAATAAGTTTTGATTTGTACTTAATCACGATGTACGGGTATATTTCAGGTTACATATTTATAATAACGCCCACTGTGCATAATAACTACAAATATTTTATACAATTTTGTGGCAGTATAAACTTACAACTATTCATAATATCATTATTTAGAGTATAAGCAACACAAGTACATATAGAGATTACAGGCAATACGTACATAAATATGAATGTTTATCCCAATAAAGTACTAGGAAAAAAATAAGACGTTACGTTACAACAGAATATTGTATTGAAAATATACTATATGAGAATTAACTGTGAGGTAGGTTGTATATCAGTTGACGTTATATAATATAATAATATGTACAATAAACCAACTAGGTATATTAAATTATATAAATCCACAAATCATTCACTTGACAGTTATATTTGTGAATTGTCAGATTAACTGCTGATAGATATTAATAGGGTGTTTTATCTGAGAGGAATTATTTATATTATTGAAATTACCTACCTAACTTATTTACAAGACTAGGTAATAAAAATGTTTCTGATAAAAGGGCTATAGTGCTATACTAATAATTTATTTTAACTTTTTTATTAGTTAACAATTCCCTATAATATGCT